CGCGGAGGCGGCAGCCCTAGGTGATGGGACGGGGTCTCAGGGCCCCCCCGCGCGATTGTCTTTGGGTCTCCCGCGTTAGCGCAGGGGTGAGCGTGTCCGTGGACACCGGGCACCGGGGTTGGCCAGCAGTGCCAGTGAGTTCTTTCTGGCTGTTCGTAGAGCCCCGATCCCTTCCAGACTGATGCTTCTGGCCAGCGTCTCTGTGCCCCTGTCCTCCACCCCAGTCTGATGGGGGCCGGGCTCTGTGATAGAGGCTCGGACACCTAGCCGCGCGGGCGTGTCAGGATGTAGCTGAGCCTTCAGTCTGGAAGGCTGAACCTCCCTGCTGGGGGAGGAGATGATTCCAGGAAGAGAAGCCTGAGAGGCAGAGGGGTTGCTCCTGGGGGAGGGGAAAAGAGGTGGGGGAGGGAACGGGAGGGGCGGGGCTCTGGTGACCAGGACCAAGGAAAGAGGGGAAGGAAGAGAGAGAGAGAGACCCACACCTGCCCTGCCCATCTGAAGTGTAGCTGGTACAAATGCACCAGCTCCTCAAGGCCAAAGCCACCTGCTGGTGCCCAGACACTGAATCTGTCACTCAGCCTGCACGGTGTTTTCAAAGAGTGGGAATTATTTGCAACATTTTCAGTTTGGGACAATTCACGTACAGAGTGTTGGATTTTCTCTGCAGTACCAGGCGGTGCTCCTTCACGGGCCTGTGGCTCCCCCTGCACGTCCCACCAGCTGTCCCCCACCCCACCTCCCGTGGGCTGACTCCCCTCAGCGCTGGAGGGGAGGGGTATGGCAGGCGGATACCCGAGGGAAGCGCTCTCAGGGGGCAGAAACAGCCCGAGCAAAAGCCCCGAGCCAGGGCTGTGGTGATTGGGGTTTATTCGTGTGTAACCCTTGACTGCTCAGGTGCCAGGATTCCCTGCTAAGCGTAGGGGAGACCGTGTCTCCAAAACAGGCCACCTGCCTTCACGGGGGTGGCCGTCTATTTGGATTCCACGTTACTGGAGTTTAGATTGTGAGCGTGCAGAGGTCCCTGGGGTCGGGGCGAGCAGACAAGCCGGGAGCGTGCCCCCCTCCCCATCCTGGGACCTCTAGGAGTAAGCTGTCCCACCTCTCTGTCTGCTCAAACGAAGACAGGGGCACCCTGAGACTTCCGGGGATGTGACCTGGTCCTAGAACGGCCTGGAGGGAGAAGCCAGGGCTCCAGAAACAGAAAACAAGAAGCCTTTCCGTCTATTCGGTTCCTCAAAGCCTGTTGCCCACGAGGCCCCGCCTTCCTTATTGCAGGCCCCGCCCCAAGACGGGACGCTCCGCCCCACTGCAACTAGGCCTGAGGAGGTAGCGTCAACTCAGGCGAGTTGCCGTGGCCCGTTTGTCCACCAGGTGGCGCTCCAAGACCGATGGTTAAAATCGCGCCGTGGTGGCTCTCAGGGTGCGCCCACTGTCCCAACCAGGAGGCGCTCCGGGACAGACGGTTAAAATCAAGGGGATGACGGCCCTTCTTGAGCACTAAAGGTCCGCGGGCACTGGTCCACTGCCTTGAAACTTCAAAGCTCCGCTCGTTTTTTGAACTTCCGGCCAGGCTGCCGCAGTTCTCAAAATAAGGTCCTGAAACCAGCTGCATCCACGTCTCCCGGGAACTTCTTAGGAATGCATATTCTCGCCCCCCCCCCCCCCC